TCTGTTCTGAAGCAAGAAAAGGGAACATTCCAAGACCTGCCACTGAGTCTCACTGAGGGAAACCTGTTCTGTAGACCCTGATGCAGAGAAAAGTCTGTTCAATGTTCAAGTTAGACTTTACCTATGTTAGCTTTGCTTGCATTAAACCATCAATTTTTTAAAATAAAAACTTGTAATATACAATTATTTGGCAAGTACTGAAAGTTTTAAGACATACTTCAGGGGGCTTTTTCTGAGTTGTGGGCTCTAGATTTCTGAGTTGGAGCAGGAGACTTGTGCCCTAGAGTCTTGAAGCAGCTAAAGAAGGAGGGACAAGCAAGAATCAAGGACGAAGAGGGGAGCACCAAGCATCAGACCTGGGAGGGGTGCAAGATCTTGAGCAGGAAGAGGAAAGCTGAAGAGTGAAGAGTCTGGGAGGCTGGAAGGAGGTTGGGGAGAGGAATGCATGAGAGATTGGGATGAGGGGTTAAGACTGAGGGCACAAGGCTGAGGGCCAGGCTGGAGCCCGGTTGAAAAGGATGCCGGTCAGTGTGGTGCGCAGCAAGGTTGACTCAACTTGAGGTGACCCCCGAATTAGTTCTTTGAGCTGTGATTCCAAGACTTCAAGTGTTTTAGATTGTGCAACCTCAGGGTACGATGTCACAGACACCCGTCAGGTAAGACAGATGTTACTCTCTGGGTGGCAGGTAGCAAATAAAACACAAAATAGGCTCATGGCTGAATTCTTCATTCTGACTCCACAATCTATGACACCTGCAGAATAAGAAACATATTAATATGGGACCGAATAGGATGAGATCGTCATCAGGGAAGTGATCACGGAAGGAGCAGGAACTTCCTGCGTGCCTGACTGTCGTGGGTTCCTGATGAAAGACGGAGGGCTGAGGGCTTGCCCAGTTTGGAGGACCTCTAATAGGCTTTGAGTCCTGTGTTCAGAGAGTGACATGGCACTGTGATTGAAAATTTTGCAGATTACACCTATTTGTAGTTTTAATTACTACAGACGAATATGTATTGGAGTTAGAAAATTCTGTATTCAAATCCTAGCTTCACATTTATTAAACACGTGAGTTGTGGCTGAGATCCTGAAACATCCTGAGCCTCAGTTTTTATCACCCGTGATATAGAGCTGGTAACTATTCACAGCATAATTGTGCCATAGGAACCAGTGCAGGGTAGGCCCTCAATGGGTGTGGTCTACCCACTCACAACCCCTTATCCATAATTCTGTAATCAAAGTGCTTTAAGAACTGAAAGTTTCAAAAAATTTTGTGTCAAATTTACTAGACAGCTACCCCTAATCTGAACTAATTAAAATGAGGCTATTTCTAGCCTTTATTTATTCCACTTAGTGTGAGTATTTATGTACTTGTCTGCAGAAACAATAAGTGTGTTTGATTACAGGGTGTTGCTCAGACCCTTCTGGGATTGGCCCCTTCTTATCTTCCTGATAAAAAATTGTGGGGCTGTGATTGCCCCATTACCTTCTGCTAAAGTCCATAACGTACATATACAGATAATCACTAACGACAATGTGAGTTTCCATTTGGTAAATCTTTCCTTCTTTGGGTCAGGACTAAAAACCTGACAGATATGCTCATGCATTTGTTTAACCAAAATGTACCGAATAGTGACACTGTGTAAGATGTATGGCCAGATATTGCGAGGATTCTGAAGATGAAATGAGAGCCCTGCTACCAAAAAACTAGGAAGCGAGGGTTTGGGATACAGCTGGCACACAAGTCATCATGATGTGAGGCAGCACACGTTAACTTTCCCAGTTGAGAATTCCAGGCAGGATGATGTACATCTGGGGGGTGGAATGTAACTTCACAAGGAGGGAACATTTGAGAGTCCTTGAAGTGTGAATAAGAATGTCAGGCAAAGGTGTTGCGATAGGGTATTTTAAGTACAGGGATCAATAAGGGGAGCGTGTGGAAGCAGGGTGGACTAACAATATTTGCAGAGTAGCAAGTTGTCCAGTTTGGTGAGAGCACAAAGTGTGTGGCAAGGAGGAGGTGAGGGTAAAGCTGGGGGCAGGGCTGGGAAGAGCTGTGGAAGGTGGGGATTGCTGGGGCTGGGTGGGGTAGGTTTGGTTGACTGGGAAGGAATAGGTGTTGTTGTTAATTATTTTTTCTAATAAGTAAAATAATAGATGAAGAAAATTCAAATTCAAATGAAGAGAATTTGGAAACAAACAAATACATGTAGGAGAACAAAGGGTACAAAGCTTCAGTGGTGTAGGATGAGTGAGTTCTAGGGACCTAGTGCATAAGTGCAGGCTGCAGGAAATACTGTGTTGTATACTTGAAAATGGCTGAGAGACTAGCTCTTAAGTGTACTCACCACACACACACACACACACACACACAC